CAAAATTGAATGGCACACCAAAGGGACCAGCACAAAATGGACCAGAGTGAACTAGCACAAAATGAAACAGCACAAAACGGAACAGCACAAAATGAAACAACATAAAATGGCGGAACACAGAATGAACTGGCAGAAAGCAGACCGCCACAAAATATCAGCACAAAATTGAATGGCACACCAAAGGGTCCAGCAGAAAATGGACCAGGGCGAACAAGCACAAAACGGAACAGCACAAAATGGAACAGCACAAAATGGAACAGCACAAAATGAAACAGCACAAAACGGAACAGCACAAAACGGAGCAGCACAAATTTGACCAGCACAAAATTGACCAGCACAAAATTGACAAACAAATAATGTTCAATTTTGAAAGTATATAGTTTATTTACATCAAATGTACATCACTATAGACTTTTCCAGCAAGACAATGAGGTTGTAAGATGAGGAGGGAATTTCAAATGATGCTATTTGCTCATAATCAATAGGCAAACAAAATTTGGGAAAAGCATAAAACTTCTAGCATATAGGGCATATTTCAGAAACCTTTTCTTCTACGAAGCAATACCCCTTTAATGTAGATAGAATATAATTATCAATTCTCGACGCATAGAATTGGTATAAATGAAATGCAAAAACTACGCAATTGCTGATTCATAATTTGTTTTCTAGATATATAACGATCCAACGATTGATTGGCAGTTAGCATGTTTTTACTAGAGTAAAAAAAGTTTACAGAAAGATTAAAGCAGTTAACTTTTGTTTAATGTGTTTGTTGATAGATTTTTCCAGTGTGAACTTAAGGTTATCAACTAATCAATAGGTAGAAACAACAGAAAAGCCTATTTTAGCAAGTAGCGATATGGCAAAGCTCCATATTAAAGGAAAACTCTACGTATCATTTCATGGTCTACAATTAATGAAGAGCAGAGACTAAAATGATGCATCGCATGGATAAAATTTATGGTGTTTGAAACCAAATCCAATCACACAAAGAGATTTTTCAAACCAGCAGTGCATAGAATCCAGGTGATTATCATTCTATATGCACACCAAGTAATGAAATGAAGATTTTGAACAAAATCCATTTACAGTTTCCATATTAAGAGCTTATTATTGGATGGACAATGGAATTCTACTACAATTATCAGATATTGTAATTGAGGTTAGTGAAGCTACTTTAATTATTTAGGTTTATTTAGGGAGGGGTCATGTTTGATATAAAACAACTTGAACTTAGTTGGTGAAAGAATGGTAATAAGCATCTGATCAGAACATTCGCAGATCAACAATAAAAAGTGCGAGACCAAATGTTGAAAAACTATATGTTGAAAACACTAGCTAAAATGGTTTAATAGCACGATTGGACATGTTGACTGCTTAAAGAATGCTTTCCATTGCATTTACTCGTTTAGATTACTTTGCAACACGCAATACTTTGAGTGTCATTCATTGTGAAAAGCATTGTTAAGCTATTAAGACTATTAAGTATTGTCCAACTGTGTACTTGCAAATTATGACCGATACAACGAATATTTTGATGGTTGTATAAGATTTAGACTTGACATAAAGTGCTTTAAAATTGCTTAGAAAATCAAGCTCACAATGACGTACCACAAGAGTCACGTCTAAGACTATTTCTATTCATGTCATGCATCACTGTTTTAAGAGGATTGTCAAGAACAGTGCCGCTGCCATCTTTGCTAGCAAATATAATACAACAGCTTCTTACCGTGACAATGAAGCTTAGGAAACCTGTTTAGCCGAATATCTTTACTGACAATAAAAACTGCCACAGACAAAATACGGTTATCTGATATGTATGTAGATCACCATAGAAAACAGTAAATAACGGATTATGTTTAATTCTAGTAGCGAGAGCTGGATAGGTGATAAGGGCTTTTACATTGATACAAACGCTTAGACGGGCAGAAAACGATTATTACGTTGAGAGATAGCATGGTACTGAGAAGGGTCACAAAGTCAGGTCGGTGCCGTGTTTAAGTACAAACGTGCGGGTTTAAGAAGGTCTATGACGATGCTGACTAAAGTTACAAAAAAAATAAAATTTGTGTTTGTTAAAGATATGAGCTGTTGTGTGGAACATTGGTATTAATCGAATGTCCCAAAAAGTAGAGGATATCTTCTGGCAGGTATAGACTGGTTTTCGAATATACTTGAATTTTTAGCAAACATGTCATACCTTAGAATAGCTACAAATCCTTTCTTTCTATCTCTCTTGAACTTATAGAGGCAAATGTCACAGCGCAGTTGAAGAAAGCTATACAAAAGTACAGTTTTGCTCAAAACTAATTTTAAGTCCGAGGCTTTAGAAAAGTACGGAGGCGTAATTTCTCTGCTGAAGCCTCAAGCTTAGTTCATCATGTAGATGATCTTTTAATAGGATTTTTTGTGTCCCAAGTTAGCAGGCAAATTGATATAAGCAGCAAGGCGTGCACTGTACCCATTGTTAAACTGATGGAAGACAAATGCCATAATACACAATTTCAGATACTCAATTCACCATTTCGCAAAAAATTTATGGTATTCATAAAACCAAAAAACCACAGTAGAAACTTTGTTTGATATTTGAATAAATTAGCACAAATGCCGATGTAGGTAGATTATGGAAATTTTAGCAATGTTTTGTGACATTACGAGCACGATAAAATCAAGGAGCAGCTGTAGACACGACTCGCTGTTTGGCAGGTGCGAGAATGTTCGTTGCAAACTACTCAAAAGTCTCATCAAATATACATAGTTCACTGTGCGTCGATTATAAGATACAAGCAAATAAAGAATATGGGTTAGGCTGTGCTAATCTATGGGGACTCAACATTTTTGGTTTACGAGGATGAGAGCCAAATAAAAAGATACAAGCCAACACTGGGCTATCTGTTCTAGTATTGAATTAGATTCTTTACGTAGGAATTCTATATACGCTAAAAGAATGTCATCACTAGTCGCTAAAGCTGGCTAGATCTTGATAACATACAACCTAACTGTGCACCTACAATAACTATTGAAATTAGCAACAGTAAACAGGAGTTTTATGGAATAGTTTAAAGAGCCGGTCATCCGTTTGAGCCTAAATCTCCAAATGTTTAGTGAGGTAATTATAGCTCGGAATAATAAGAACAAAGAAAAGACCAATGTTAAAGAATGAAGGATATGACGTTAAGTGTTCGTTAAAAGTGCTCCGCTTCCATGTGTTTACAGAGCTAAGCGATCTTGTTTTATGGAAAAAATAATCACGCGATCAGATTATAGTCAATAAAAATGAAATTAATTACGGTCTTATTGATCAAGCTGTCTTTCATTGTATTCGATAATAAGACAGAGTGATTCCATTTTTCGGTAAAAAGACAGATGGGCTAAGTAAAAGTACGTAGAATGCGTGGAAGATAAACAGTTTATCGAGTATTTATCGCAGTGCATTCGAGCTAAGGGTCCTGTTCACTGGCTTATACAAGATTATCATAGGGAATTCGGTGCCATTAAGAGAATTTGAGGAAAATATGGACTCATTCAAGATCTGTTTCAGTGTTTTCTGAGGCTGTTTTTTTTAATTAAAGGTCTTTATGTGTTGAAAAAACATGAACGATAAAGGAGAGCGGTAATAAAGTCAGGCTAAGTTAGAGAAAGCTAGAATATTAAGCTTCGTCAAGATCTGTTATTCAAAATGCATGAATACACAGACATGTTGCTTTTGTCGGTAAATGATGAATCGTTGTAACTATTCCAAAAAGGACCTTGTTCACAGTAGTGATTATCGCTTGCTTACTGTAGAGAAGACAACAGCTTTGAATTGGGAGTAGATAGTTTACTGTTCGCAGTAGATTTAAGTCTACAGATCAAACTGAGGCCCAATGACGAAGAGGTGATCATAAGCTTCCTAAACATCTAAACTTCCTTTCTCTTCTTATACAGCAAATGTATCGATATTGTCGATACGGACATTTGAAAGAGCTGGCACGTTCAAAAAGTTAGTGCTGCTGTTAAAAGCAACTTGCTATGCGATATTTGATGTTTAGCCAACAGAATCCTAGTCAAAAATTTGTATCGATGTGTCAGATATTCATTGCTGCAGGGAACCTTTTTTGACTGATTAAAAGCAAACAGACGTAGCTGGTTTGTATAAAACACCGATACACTGAGTTTGTTTGTCGGAATCAGTCACTTGACCCAATCCAAGATACAACCTATAGAGCGTATTATGCGCAGTTCAGGTATCAATTTTTGCGTATTTGCAACTAGAATTGATGAATGAATAGGGCTTTAAAAAGGAGACGCTAGAAAACGCCAGGAAGAATCGACAAGTTCCTTCGTAGGAGTCCAACCAAATCTTTCTAGGAGCATAATAACAAAATGAAGCAAATCTTTCATACCTGTTGTTTATAACAAATCTACTTACGAGGAAATAGAACGGGCTTTCAAATAAGGCAGAAGTGTTCGTATATCTGATTATCAAAAATACACAGAAAGCAAACTTTCATTGTGGAAGATGAAGTTATCAATTTTGGATTATCGACTACTTTCATTGGACTCACCGGGCTTGATCATTGTCACGTATTTCTTCATAACGAATGTTTGCATAGTCTATTGCGATTCCATGGCAAGAAATTTGAACCATTTGTGAATATCCGTATTCAAGCTAAGCGGAAATTGTACTATTTTGGGGATTATAAGATTTTCCAGGTGACTGCATTTTAACCAAAATAAATCAATTTAAGCCAAATGGAATGCTAAAGAAAGCTAGAAGTGACTGTTAAATGAATCGTAAGAAACACTTTTTCGAATCAGAAGATCATTCTGGCCAGGCAGCAACCTGAAGAAACCGACAAATAAACCTTGCAGATAAAAGGTTCAGGCCGGATCTTATTGATGGTCTTTTCTCAAACAAACAAATTGATTTATTGTTAAAAAGCCATTTCACAATCGTTTTCAGCTGATCTGGTACACAGGAAGCAAAATCTGATAGTTCGATTTCATAAATAACTTACCAGTGAAGCTCAAATGACCTCGTCTGTTCCGGCTACCATAGTATTCTTCTGAAAACATACAGTTTCGCCAAGATATCACCATCAATATTGCACAAAGCTTCCGGAAAAGCTTTAAAAGAAGAAACCTTCCATTAAGAAACAATTGGATAGATTTGGATACTTCTATGGAGCCTTCTTGTACCGCAGTTAGTGCCTTGTTGGCACATTTGCCGGCAAACTGTGTCTTTAAAGTTGTAGCAATGGTCACCTCAGAAGACAAGTCTCGTATGCAGCCGTTCCTGATACAGCTCTCCTGCTACTGCCCGCTTTCTGAGCAAGTTCGATCATCTGTAGGTGACGGATGCAGTGCAGCTGACTGCAACGAGATTGGTCAATTCAGAAATATGCGTCATGAATAATTCAGGCCATGCAAATATCGATTGTGCAGTTAGCCAAGAATTCACCTGTGTTCGAAAAAAAAACTCTAAATTTTTGGTTCAGCTGGCCTCGTTTAGTTACAACCAAAACTGTCACCGAATATCAAATGATTCAGTATTCGCTACACAGATAAAAAAGCTGCTCAATGTTTAATACAATGATATTATGCGATCAACTATTAGCCCTGAGATGAACTGCAAATCAAGGAAAGCGCACAGGCCCAAAACAATAGAGGAATTTAAAAAATAAGTTTTGTATTTAAGCAAAAGCGCACAATAATTAATTAACTGCTTAGTTCTTCAACTTATTTAATCCAATATGACAAAATATGCTTTCCCACGAAAACAAAGCTCCAAAAAGGATTTAAAGACTGAAATAGATTCAAATTATTGTAAGCATGTTATTTAAGCGCAATCATCAGTTTCTATCTATAGGATCGGGCGGTTTTGAGTTAAAAAATAAATGGTTTCGGCCGTACTTCAAAACGCTATTGACTTCAAAACACTGCAGACGAAACTTAGTGAATCTTTCATGCGGAAATTTGAGCTTATAAAGTAAACAAATGCACAATGAGTTTTAGAGTAACAGTTTCTTCTGTAACAAGACTAAAGATACTAACTTCCGTGTTTGCTGCGTCTAATTTCTTCATCTCCTATATGCAAAAAGGTGTAAAATAAGCAATTAGCCGCTGAAGGACACGATTCGATTCAACTGTTATGACGTATTTGATTACAGACGTTGACGATCAGTGACTTCCAGTTTTTGCTGTCATCAGCTTTTCGAATTAAAGTCCAAGCGTTCTTCCTTTTTGTCAGCAGCTTCAAACAATCCAAAAAGGTTTTTCTTTGCCTTCCCCTGCCTTTTTGAATTGAAGTCCCAGCGTTTTTCTTATTGGTCAGCAACTTCAAACAATCCATGAGTGTTATTCTTTGCATTCCCCTGTGTCTTTTACCTTCAACTTTTCCCATGAAAGGTGAAATTCTAAACGTTTCTTTCTTGAAGGACACGATAGAAACGTTGAAGAACATAAACTACATAGCAATATTAGAGATAAACAGAAAATAAATCAAAGGTAAACAATTATCGTTTTTATAAATCTTACGGGTTGGAGAGGAACGGCAGGGGTAGCAAGGGCAATGTGTTCAACCTTATCAGCAAAAGGGGTTTCTCATCGACGACAATTTAATTGTTTGGTTTTAGGCCGTATTAATTACATGGGGCTATTTTTGTCGAATGCATGTCTGTTTTTTGGAAATTAATCTTTATTAGTTGGTGTCCTTAAACGGACACTTGCTGTAAATAGCCTGAATTTTAGACATGTGAACTTAAGAACGTCAGTCTTAAACTTGTACATGTTCTAAATAACTATCAGTCAAACAGCTGCAAATTGCTACAAGGCAATTACATACGGCTATACCATTTTTACGTAAAACTTTTACCTGGCCTCATACTTTGTAGCTGTTTGTTCGAGCATTTAAGTATTGCAAGTCTCTATATACCATTTTTGGTGTGCTCCTATTAGCTTTCATCTCTTTGGAAGATGAGATTCAATGCTATTTTAATGCCTTCAACATAGCAACTAATTATGGGGAAAAAATTGAGCTAGATTTGTAAATATCGTGAAAAAGCTAATCAATTTTGACATAGCTTGTTGTCACTGTTTCATTAAAGATATTTTTGAAGGACTTGAGAAACAGTAACACATGTTCCATTGCATTACCAATCACACCAACAGTGATAGTGCAATACTTACATAATTTAGCATTAATCATCATTCGAATTTAGAGATGTTAGTGAAATCTTATCTGGAATTACACACGAAACCTGCAAAATATGAAAAAAATCAAGTAATTATATTCGGCAAACAATACGAGTATTGATGTTGAAACAAAATGAATCAAAAAGATAGGTGCTTAATCTGTTATTACCTAAATTTTGTTAGTTCAAGCATAACTTTATAATGCCGATCTCTATCGTTATCTGACTGAATTTATAAAATCTCATTTTTGAAAATGCGCGTCACTAGCGTATTTAGTCTACCAAATTACAAACATCGATTGGTAGCAATTCTACGAATACGTAGTCTTTCTCATAGTCAAGCAAATTTATCAATTATGGTGTAAATTAAATAAATCTTGAATAGCTGTGGGTATAAGTGTCCTGTTAAAAATATGTCCAGACAGACAGAATACACCGAAAAAAGTGCTAGTTGGTGAAAAGCCTGGCTATAATATTGAAGAGATTGCAACGTCCCAGTTTTTGCCGGAATCCCCCCCCCCGTTTTTAAAAATTCCTCCTGCTTTCCCTTCTTGAGGGCATGCTCTCCCGTCTGTCCTCAGCTTGACTTTGAGAAATTTGATTTATGACAGTTTGGTCATAAATTCTTCAAATAAGGTAACAAAAAGTACTATCCTGGGTCAAGGCTGTAGTGATAGGGGGGCATAGGGACTGAGCCCCAATTGCTAACGCCAATAAATACCAAATGTCTTCTTATGCTATTATTTTTAATTATGCTATTCTTCTTAAGCAACATTTTGCGCAAAAGCCCCCTTTTTTGACAGCCCTTGATCCCATCGTTATTCTTTTCGATTTTTGGCTCACTTTGCTTCTAGTCTCCACTACCATTACAAACCTTTGCTAACACTAACAGCAACTTGAAAGGTCTTTTGTTCCATTCAAAAGTGACACAGAATGTTCTTGCCATTCATGCAGCATCGCTAAAAAGAGGAAAGAGTCGAATGCAGCAAAACGAATGATAAATGATCACAACGTAACTAGTGATGTATTTCTTACTACAAAATCGAGTACAAAACGAAATGTCTACACTTGATATCTCAACTGGCGTTATTGCTGTTTTTGAGTTGGATACAAGGTATATATTGCGAAAAACAGTCTCGTCTCTTCAAGATCCATGCTCTCAGGTTTTTACAACAGGCCTCCCCAATCATTTAACGGCTGTGATGTCACAGTTTCATGCTCATCAAAGGACAGTTATCAATAGATAGATAATATAGATAAAGACAAGTTAGCAAACCAAAATTGAAAACATTTCCAAAGCTAAATACATTTTATCAATTAAGCAAGTGCGAAATTAAAGGCATATATAACTGGGACCGTTAAAATGTGGGGAGAGATAAACAGGAGACAGCACAAGTAACGATTGAGTTATACTCTAGAAAATATACACAATAACAAACTACCAAAATGGTAAGATCTTACAAGAAGGAAAATAGCAAACGCTTGAAAGTTAAAATTATTAAAAATCGGTCGTAGCTAGCTGCTATAGCCCCCTAAATTTATGCAAATTCCTGGTTTCCAGTGAACAATCTCTTTTGCCCCTTTTAGTCCTCAGCAATGGTGTCCCTAATAAATCTTTCCGTTTTTACGGTACTGCTAAAACCTACAATCAAACACCAAAATAAAGTATTGCTCAAATGTTTTGGTCAAATGAATTCCTTTGCGAACAATCCTTAAATCAAATAATGTTTATACTATTTTTGATATTAGCCAACCAAAGAGTTTTAACTGTAAAATGACTAACTGCATCAATAAAAATAGGTGTCAATACAATTTGAGCTAAAGATAGCATTTCGATGAAAGGCGACAAGCAAAATTGTTTTTCATTGCAGTTACATGTTCTTTAGCACATTAAAGGCCTGTCGATGTCGTGAAAATCACACACGTGTAAATTCAGGTCATGTTGCAAGCTACAAAATATCACAGTTCTACTTTCGAATAGAAAAACAACGTGTTATGTTGAATGTGCAGGTGTTTACTCCTTGCTGGGTTTTTATATTTGGAAAAACAAAATATATGTTTATGGCTGCCATCCCTGCTAAACGTACACGTGCACCAAATTTCTAAATATTTTCTGTTGCATCAGTTTTCTGATATTTATGATATTTAACTCCATTACACTCTTTTTTTTATAAGAAACAGTGAATTTAAGTTCAGGCTGACTGTTCTTAATTTTTTCGAAAATCTGAGGCTGAATTGTTCTTAATTTGTTCTTAAATTACGAGGGCGTTAGCAGTGCTATTGCTAGCTTTTTGCTCTAAGGAGGTGTTCAGGCCTCATTTGCCAACAAAGTGAGTGAGACAGCCTTAATTTGCTGACAAATTTGAATATTCGCCGAAAAAGCACCCACACATCGCTAAAAATCCTCGATTTTGAGAAAAAACGTTGTTCAAGATTGCATTTGGCAGAAGCTCAGCCTCAGCTTGTTCTTAATTTGGTCTTAACTTTTGACCAGTTTTGAGGCTCGTGTTCTTATAAAATTGTTCTTATAAAAAAAAGAGTGTATTTATGATAAATCAATATGTTTTTGGGGAAAAAGGGATGCGGTGTCAATCGTTTCTACCACAAACAGCAAATGTTTACAGCTAACACTTTGTCAGGGGTTGTTGCTTGAAATGTAATAGTAAGCAATGGTAATGATAGAGTCACATGAAATTTTTGACGAGGCTTATCGAGATTTCCTTGAGAATATCACTGACATCGCCGATTTTACATTGATAGTTTATTCATAAGTAATTAGCGATCAAGCGACTATTTCATGATAACTTACTTTATTTTGGATCAAACTTTTGGACAACAGCCTTATCATATAAATCCGGGTAAGCCGCTAATTATTTTGAAATGAAATCGGTTTATCCTACGAATATTTCCAGCCCAACTTTTATAGATAAATTGCGGTCATATTGTGTTTGCTTAAAAATTTTAGTGAATGATTGATCGATTCAAAGCTTGGTCAGGCAGGCTGAAACCTCTTTTCCGGGATCCTGGCTGAAGAAGATCAGAACCAATGCTTCCCGGCTAGCCCATATATCAAATGATAGCAAGTTGTGTTTCAATACAATTCGATAAGAAAGCCGAGATCCCGGTAAACCTGGCCCGCCCTTCGGGATTCGTCAAGCTGGGATTCTTTATACAATATGCCATCTGTTAAAAAAAATGTTCCAAATCACAACACGGAAAAATATTTGGCTCAATACTCAAGCAGGAATTGCGCAACCATTCAAAGAACTTAAAGCGCATAATCTGCAACTTTTTTGTTTACAAGAATAAAACCGGTTTTTGGATCAAAATTATGTATAAGAATCAAGAGAATGCGTATATGTTTGATTAAAGATACCGTGGTTGCTGGAGACAGGTAGAGAAAATTCATACTTATGTTCTTTCTATTTTCAGTATCGTAATGCCATGTCAAAAATTGAAATGCAGCATTATGACGGATGTTCTATACAAAATTAAAGCCTTGGTTAGTAGGCGAAGCAAAAAAAGGTGATGAATGCGCGATGGTTTTGGAAATCTGTTCATGTACAGCGGGGAGTGTCACCATCGTGCGTAAAATCTGATTTCCAACAGATTAAAGAGAGAGTTAATGCACGTTTGACGCGCAGCTCCCTAAAATTCGATGAATTATTTAGCATTCTTTGAAAATCAAAAGATATTGTTTGCATGAAAATGGTTGCAAATGCAGTAGGTAGCTACTGTAGTTGAGAAAAAACCACATCTTGCCTCAAGTCCTTCAGAAAGAGTAAAAAATGGACTACGTGTTAATTTAAGGCGAAGTTTATTCCCAAGATGATTTATACCGATGGACGAGGAGACATCAGAAAAAAGGTGAAGCTTAAGACGCCATAATCGAAATCATTGCCACTTTTGGGATAAAAAAGGATTTATATATATCTAAAAAAGACAGTTTCATAAACAAGAAGATCTTATTGTTATCAATGAAAATTTTCCTTTTTGTAGACGACTTGATAGCTGCAGATATCCTTAAATTTTTAATCATTTATGCAAAGTGACACATAAGTTCCAAATCTTTTAGCAGATGCTATCGTGTTCCATTAACTTTATACGGCCCAGCGTCCCAGCACGGGGAGTTGATTACGCGGGAGAAGTTGTCTGGGACGAGTGACAGATCACAAGTCGAGCCTACCCTCAATTTGACCATACATTCTTCAGCAGTGCGGCCAAAGTTGCTCTGAATACTTACCCACCCAACTCACCTATTGCGACTTAACATTTCGGAGTGATTGTTAAAGGAAAATATTTTACTTCTCGACCGAGGAACAGCTTTGTCGAATTTTGGTCTGAAATATTAAGAGTAATATTAAAAAAACTAGCGCTTTATAAAATCTACCTTGATTTCGTCCTAAATAAATTCTATTAAAAGCTATTTATTGCAAGACAATTTTAAACATGTGTGCGATAACTATTTTAAACTTGCATCTAACATCAAACGGTAGTAAGAATAGGAAGTCAGCCGCATTTTGATACTGCATCTTCTGCTTAAGTCACCGCAACTTCTGCCTAGTACCGCCTTTCCATCGAAAACACTTTGGTCGTGAAAGATGCAATCATCTGCATTCATTTTGACAGTAATTGAATTTGCGGAAACTAAAATAAATCTGTCTTTAAGACTTTAAGTAGACTACATAGTTAACGTTAAATTATTGCCTCTGTGCCAAATTATCTCAACTTAGGAGTTTTCAAAATGTGTAATCAAAATAAGTCTACCGGAATTGTAACCATTATCTTATCAAAAATATGACACGAGACATTGTCTCCATTGGCTGAGACACAATTGTCTTATCGCAACCTCTACCTAGTTATACAGCATGATATCATTGTAACTTAATAACTTAAATTGCGGATCTAACGTGAAAATAACAATTTCAAATAGATTAAGTAGCAGCAGGCTAAAAATACGCGCTTGTGGCAAACCAGTGACTAAGTTGTTTTACGATGATAGATTCATCTTGATATTTGTAGATAAATAAGATTAAAAAGGCGACTGTTTACCTGTCTGCTGAAGGGTAATAACTGCCGCCTGAGACTAAAGGTCGGTTCTACAAAATAACTCTCAGCTCATTGAAATTCAGGCATGAGCGCGTTAGCTGTGGTGATAATTGATGAAAGAGACTTTTTAATGAACGTCTGTTGACGCATTTTGATGGGATGATTATCACATCTATTTTTTGCAAACAGGAAATGATGGGGGTCTCCTCTTTTAAACTACGGTCTTTGACATGCATAAGTACAGCGAATCCAAAAATAATTTAGGCCAAATTGATCAGAGCACGTGCGTCTAAAAGGAATTGGAAACTGCTCGAGTGAAACCACTGTGCGCTGCTCCAGGATTTCGCCGATTTGCAGGAAGGCGAAAAGTGTTCGCATGTTTTTCTCTGTGTATAATTTGATTGGTAAACCGCTGGTGATCAAGTGGCTATAAGGCTTTTTTTCCTGTGTGAAATGCCTTTAAACTACTTCCTTATGAAATGAATGCGCAAAATGAAGAAGCTATCTACATTGAATGGACTTCAAGCTAGATTAATATTTTTTCATTAGCAAGTTTAGAACTAGAAAGAACGGTGATTGACAGGGAAAAAATTGGCTTAATTGGTGTGAAATGTGTGCATCTGATCTTTTAGCATTACTCACTTCAACAGAAGTTTTTTCAAAAGAAATATTCTTACATTTTTGACGTTTCCGAAACAGCTGAATTCTTCTTTTCTTGGAGAAGCTTCTTCTTTATTGCACCATAAGGTTAAACTTGCTGCTGTTATCGCTAGCATCACAGCACGATTCAAGTTCACATGCAAAAACAAAATCGGTGTTACATGTCATTGCTATCATGCATTCTCAAACTCGGATTCTCGGTGAAACCATTTCTTTGGCTTACAAGTTGAAGAGCCTTATGGTCTATTGCTGCTTCAGCGTGAACACCATGTTTTAACTCCTTCAATGTTTTAATATTTTAAAGGAGTAGCTTTTGGCTTTTCGAAAAAACTGCCTGCTGGTCGCTCAAAGCCATCTTTGATTCTCTTTACTGAATATTCACTTGTGCTTTCTCGATTCTTTTTTGGCGCGGTACTATAGCGCACCAGCTTCTATATAAAGCAATTAAAATCGCACTAAGAATCCAAAAAGGAGTTTATCTTCCAGTCTTTCTCATCTCAAGCTCATTTTCAAACAAAAAAGCAAAATCAGAGCAAAAATGGCCTTTGAATGTCGGAAGACAAAGCTGTTAGAAAGCATGTTGATCAAAGCCACTCAGGATTTAATCACAGCTTTTCTGCTACGGAATAAATACATTCATTACTTTTGCTATAACTTATCTCTACCAACTTCCCTTTACAATCTACCTCTCGTGGTGGGCAAAAAAATTAATAGCCAATGATTTCGTTAAAGATGTAAAACAGCAACAACAACAGCAACAGCAACAACGATAGAAGCCAAAATTGGAAGAGAAACTTCATTGATTGTGAAGGACAGAAGTTATGGTTTTTGAATGTAGTCATGATTTACTTTCTAACGAGAATATCTTCAGGCAATGCTTTTATGTTCCTTTTACAAAAAGTTGCCAATAAAAAGATTTTGTTACAAAGAAGATCAGCGCTCCATTGCTATTAGACAGCCTGCCCGCACGATAATCTTTGAACAAATCCGTGACCCCTCCAAATCCGTGACCCCTCCTTCTCTTTCTTCACACCAATGAATCCAGGACGTTTCGCATCATTTCGTATCACGTGATATAAAAAGAATAACCAGATCGATCTTAAACTGGCGGCTAAGTAGTAGGACTGTGGAAACAGATACTGCGTTTTGGACAATTGCACAGTTTTGGATAGAGCCTTAAGACTATAGATCTTATGTTCGAGCAAATTAATTTAGTTGTTCTCCATTTGAGGAAAACATATGAAATAGTGTCATTATGAAATAGTGTAGATTCGATGAGATAGTGTTATTAAAAATGCCTTCTGAACGATGGTTGGAAGCGAGTTCCGGGCATTATCCAAAACGTGCCAACAAAAGTTGTTTCAAAATACTAGCCTTCGGGATTTCATAAAGTCACTTTCGATAGAGTTATGTTTATGGAGTTTTTAGTGGAATAGAAGTAGCTGTATGGCAAGCTGAAAAACAATGAATGAAAATTGTTTACAATATTACCCTGTTAGCTTTTGTAGGCCATAGTTCTGTTTCGCTACACACATCATGCGCATGTTGAATCCAAGACTACAAAAAATCACAAGACATTTTCCCTTTTAACAACGAAAGTTCATGATGCTCTCAAGTGAATAAAGTGCACTAAACCTATTTCCATAATTCTTCTTTAACCGAGAGAAGTTGACAATTAATCAGCCAGGAAGCACGTTGACAATTAATCAGCCAGGAAGCACGTTTACAATTAAACAGCCAGGAAGCACTGCGAATCAAGTGCGTTTGCCAGTGCTGTAAGAGGGTTCTGCAGCTGCTAAAGGGCCAGACCTACGTCTATATCAGTAAACAAAGGGGTCCAACGGCTATGTACGAAAAAAATTTCTGGTACGTAATATGAGCAGAAACCGTGTCACTTCGTTGGTTAGCTAGTTACTTACTTACAGGGTTCCCCACCACTGCTATATGTACTCATTCTTCGTACATAAAAATGAACATACACCGAGTCCTGTTATTAGGGTACCTAATTTTTGCACTAATCCTCTTCAAAGAGTTATTGAACTGCCCCTGACACGAAATAGAAAAATTGCTCTTCAAGCAAAAGAAGGTCGAGCTTTTCATATATCATGTTTAAATCATACTGCAGTGACAATTCTATAGCAACTGGGGACTTAAACCTTCCAAAATCTAACGACAAAATGGCCAGTGGCCTGGTAACTAAACCTATGGGAAGTAAGGCAAAGAGCAGAAAGGCAAGAGCATAACGTAGCTCTCATAAATATCTGGAGAGGGGGGGGGGGGGGTTGGGGGTTATACTTTTATGTTTCTGAAAATTTTTATGTCCGAGGCACTTTAAAATACTAATTTCAGCACGTGTTTGTGGCTTTTGTGGAAGAGATTTCGAATCTTCTTCTGTATGCACTACAGATTAGACAGACAGGCAAACCTTTGAAAAAAGAAACATAGTACGCATTTTCCTTTAATTTGTACAAGAAGTGTCCTTTATTTCCAATCTTTTCCTATCGCATTTTCTTCGTTTTTAAGCTTCGTATTTTCTTATCATACCCTTTCTTAGGCCTCTAGCAGCAAACACGTACATCAAACAATCAACCGAACTAGAAAGAGAGCCAGGGGCGATAACAGGAGAAAGGATGTGTATTCCTTGAGCAGTAATCAATGAAACCGTTTTTGCAGTCTTTCAGTTATTAAATGTCTCTCGAGAAAGAGGTAAACCTGCATTTTCACCTGAAAACCGGAAAATTTTCATTTCCGGCAGCGTCAAATCATCTCAGGCCAATTTATGCGTGTACTTGCGATGATTTAATTTTCTACGCACCTGTAAAAACTTTAATTTGCCAAGCAGCAGAGACAAGGCTTAAAGATTTCCGTGCACCAGAAACAGTGCACACCCACTTTCCTCTCGACTGGGACTGTGATTGAGAAAAAGGATTGCATGCAAATTTAGCGGAAATTCAACCTACGACAGATCACCAATCTTAAGGCTGATTTCCACTAGGCGAATTCTTTCGCGCGAATCGAATTTTTGCCAATGTGAGCATGCGTGGTGTCATGTTCTCAGATTTCGCAGCGAAAAAATTCGATTCGCAGAAAGTAGATCACGGTCCTACTCTATCGCTACGAGAATTTATTCGATTCGCGCGAAAGAGGTCGCCTAGTGGAAATCGGCCTTTAACCATTCCTTACAAGACAGCAAGACAGCGTATTCCAGTTAGCCTGGCGAAACTTGTACTGGGCATTGCCAAAGTTAATCAGCTTTGTGGAGACTGATATTGAAATAAGATGTGCTCTTTTTGGACTTGAAATGAAAAAGCGCCTAATAGGACCTGAGTTGAGATTTATGGTACCTAGCCCTTATAATTACGGGGAGTCACTGCTTTCTCCCTTGGTAAATAAACACTAATGTCCCAGAAATAATAAGGGATTTACTGTTAGTTTATACGCGCCACTATCAGCTGCTGAATTAAAAGTCGATAAAACCATTCTATAAGACAACTCTGACCAACATAATGATAATGAACCTCCAATACTAAGATCAGAAGTAGAAGAAGCGATCAAAGTTTCAAAAATTGGAAAGGCTCCGGGACTAGATAAAATTTCAGCTGAACTAATTAAAGCAGGAGGGGAAGATATGATAAACGTTATGCTTAAAAAACATGTAACGAATGCTTAATCAAACAAGGTTGGCCAACCCAATGGAAGGAAGCCTTTCTTCTGCACGAAGGGCAATATGAAATTGTGTGAAAACTACAGAACAATTAGCCTTATCAGTCATTCAAGGAGGGTATTGCTTCGAATACTTCAGAGGGCACTTGAGCCTCGCATTGAAAAAATATTAAAAGAGAAACAGGCTGGCTTCCGGAAAGACAGAAGTACAGCAGAGCAGATAGGAAACCTGAGAGCATTATGTGAGAAATACCGCAATCACCAGAAATATATTTTCCATTGACTTTAAAAAGCGTTGGGCCGGGAATGGCACGATGCTTGTGGCTCGCTATCGAAAAGTACAAAATTGGGAAAAGCATTACCACCTTGATCAGAACTTTTTATGAACGAGCAAAGAGCACGGTTCTGGTAAATAACGATTACAGCAGTTAGTTTACATCCAAATTAGGGGTAAGACAGGGCTGCATTCTTTCATCAATGCTGTTTAATCTCTTTCTTGAAAGAATAATAACTGGTGCACCGGGGAGCCGTGAAAGAGAAATCAAATGCGGGGGATTGTGACTTTGTAATTTGAGGTTTGCGGATGACATCGACATCATTGCCAGTTCTGAAGAAGAACTAAAAGAACTGACAGAGAGGATCAATAGTGCTGCCAACAGATATGGTAAGCATAATAATAATAACAGGACCAACACCAATAAATTTGAATGCACCAAGTAAATGGTGAAGATCTGGAACAGGATAGAATAGGTGCTTCAAATACGTTGGCTCAAAGATAACTGAAGAAGGAACACCAACAACAGAGGTAATGTCAAGAATTGGAATTGCAACAAGTGCATTATCTAATCTGATTAAATTTGGAGAGAAAGAAAGTTATCAATTGAAATCAAAGTGAATCTTCTACGTGCAATCGTTAGCTCAACAGCACTCTACGGATGTGAAACATGGACACTTAACAGAAAGTTAGAGAAACGAATTGATGCATTCGATATGGAATGTTTACGGAGAATTCTCGTAATATCCTGGAGGGATCAGAAATCAATTGAATTGGTTAGAGATGAAGGTTAACGACAATATGGCAAAATTGAAAACCTTCTGGACATACGCAGAAACTGTAAAAAACGCAAAAACTTCAATGGCTTGAACACGTTACAAGGAAAAAGTCCGTCATGCACGGACAAGTAGAAGGAAGAAGGAAAGTGGGAAGACCCCAGGCGTGTGGAGCGACGATGGAGTAGTTTGGGCATAACGGAAGTATTGAGGAGAACTGAATAGAGGGTGAGATGGGAGACGGATGTCAATAAGTGGGTGCACCAACGACCTCCACAGGGGCTAGGGTCTCGACGATGATTATGATGATGATGACTATAAGTTGGCTTTTAACAGCTAATTTTAAACTTGCATTAATTACATTTTACTATCTTATCTATTTATGCCGACATGTACACAAAGTGATAATAAGAATGAAGAAAATAGTGTGTTTTTGTGTACCTATACTGATAAAGAAATTAAATAGGTGGATATCGAATACGAAATTTACGACTCCTTTGACGCAAAACCATCCAACAATGCAAAGCGCACAATCCTTATCCTTTTTTGCAGCGGTGACCCGCCACAACATGCGGCAAAGCATGAGAGAAAGCAAAAACTGTTAATCCTGATTCTTCTGAGTTTTATTAAAGAAAAAGCCTACGCAATTAATTTTGTCCACGTACAAATACAATTTCATGGAAGAAATGCAAGAGACCGTTTAGTTCAAAATTCGATGCAGAGACTGCCACAGCCGAGAAGAAATTCTAAATTATTAGGACCATAAGCAAGAAATTAAATGGTCTTTTATTTGCTTAAGGCCGATCCCTGGTGCCATGGCAAAAGGGTTTGCAAACTCAAACTGTGTTTTCTCCTTGCTTTCCTTCTGCAAAAAGTACATGTACATTGCTACGAGTAGCAAACTTCGACTTGCTGCTGCCGTTTTAATATGTTTTGAATTGGCGCCAGGACTTTCGTAGATCTTTTCATTCGTCCGGGTCTACTCTAAACAATTGTTTTGATAAACGCGCACAGCAAAGATTTAACCACTGGGATTGCTATAAATTGTCTTAGAAGATTGGGAGAGTCTGAGAAACTATCTAGAGTTAACAAAGTCTTGGTGACTCTGATAGCCAGAGTGAGGATCTGCAGAAGCTTCCATCAAAATTTGAAATGTGAAAGTGCAGCATCTTGATACAAACAGACATCAGAAGCAGAAGAAACATTTTGAAACTGTTACCAAAGATGCTGTTATGTCATCCAATGTCATTAATACGCTATATATCTACTTTGTGTTCGTACTAGCATGACCGCCGAGAGGTTTTGAAGGCCCTTGGGCAAAATGGAAAAACGAGGCACAAAACTTTTTGCAACCACGTCCTTTAGAAAAACATTAAATGCATTTCAGAATATTTCTTGCAGTCATTTTCTGCAATCGTTAAAAAGTAAAAGTTTTTTAATGTCTTCTTTAACGTGTTACCATTTTTAAGAAAAATTAGGTGCGAGGATGGCTCAGTAGTCAGGGTCGCGGACTACAGATCTAAAACAGGGTGTGCCTTTGGCATGAGAGGAGTCGCCAGATTTCTACAATTACAGGCGTAGGAATCATTAGGGATGGTCATATCGAGAGGAAGGATCAGGAAACTGCTCAATAAGCACAGCTTCTCGGTGTCCTCAAAACTACTTTCGGATGCTAGGTAGAAACAAGTGTATATTAAATTCTTTAAGTGGAACTCAATACTTTAAGAGGCTTCCTAGATCTCGACGTCCTTGGACAATTTGCCCACCTTGCCCCCTTTTGGCGGCCCTATATACTTGCAATTTGACCCCCTCCAGTTAACAGTGGTGGAAGTGAGAGCGAAATCGTAACTTCAATTTCTTTCATCAAAGACTTCGTGGGGCTCATAAGCAAGCGTGTGTAGCGATAACGACAGAAGTACTTTAATGTATTCTTACAAAAGTGTAGAATCGACCCTTGCTATTGAAAAACGGTATTCATTGTCTAAGTTCATCCTTTGTAACAAATCTACCGCTACCAACGCTTTCCCTACAACCGCATCTGACCATTTTCATTTTCGTCACCCGCATTTTCACTCTCTTTGTATCAGGCAAACACCAAAACAAAATAAATCGTCGAGGACAGTATCCTCGAGGTAGCAAAACTGTCCCTCATTAATACCTACTCTTCTTCTGCATATCCACTTGATCTGTTGTTTCTTGCTAAAACATTGAGGCCCAAGGTCTTTGGCATTCGCATTCGCCGTGATCACGGAACCAGCCATCACTTGGGTAGTCCTCCAGAATTCTGCGACGAACGGGATCTCAAGAAAGCACAAGCTTTTCAATATAGTAAAGCTATTTGTGCCACCGCCATCGACATGGTTGAAAATTCTCACAATATTAATGATCTCCGCAAACGTCAGAGCTGAGATATCTGATTGAAGGTTGCCAGGTTTTCTTGATTTCAAGAGGTAACAAATTGTCTAAAGTCTTTAATACGAGTATGTAGATATCAAAACTAAATCTATAACTTTGGAAGTATATTCTACATTAGATAAACAATATGAGCAAACTTTCTTCACAAAGAAAAGCGTTCAAATAACACCTAATGCAAAACTGCACGTGAAGGCAATATCGTCATTATCTTGCTGCAAGGAAACCATCGAACAAGAAACTTTTCTTTAATGAATATCTTTGTGCAGGTATTACCCTACCGCTGCTGAAGGCAGATCGAATTTCGCTTAACACCGGATAGCTTACTTAAAAAGTAAATGAAAAAAACCTAAAAACAATGAACATAAAAAACAAACAAAAAACATTAAAAGAAAGGGCGACGTAACAGATAATGGAGAAAGTACCACTGGGGGGAAAAGTTTTCGTTAACATGGGCTCCTGGGTGCCTCATTAGAGATGTTGCTTCTGAAGATTGCATATGTTTTAGGAAACGATAGAAGGGACAGACTCTAGATTTTGTATCTCGCTGAAGACCAAGAAAGACAACCCAAAGAAAATCATGAAAAGTAGAGAGCGAGTGGACGACTGTTTGATACCAATTTATCGCTGTCTGTTTTTGTCGGCTTACAGAATATACTTGCAGTGGAAACCATGAATAGTTAAAAAGCCAACTGCACTCAAGTCTTATTAAAGGCTTTAGCTAGCAGGCAACAGCAGACACATTAGGTCAAATCATTCATTCTTAGCTAAAAAGCAGCTGCTTGCATTTTCATATAGGAAAAACATCTTTGCACAAGTTTTTTAGCATTCAAACAACTATGAATCAAGGGGATGGGTGGTTGGAAAAGACCAATAATGCCACGAAACAGAACAAAAAAACACAAAACACACACTTAAAGCTTGCTTTTCCGGCTTGGAATTCGACTGCCTTCTTTATTGCAGCGGTAGGAATTACCCTCAGCATCCAGCTACTTCTGTTTCCATCCCGGAGCTCTTCGTAGTTTCCATTGTTGTGAATACCTAAACGAAGAGCAAACAAAATCAGTCCCGCAAACAAAGACTGACCCGCAATAATTGCAATATTGCTTACTATTTCCTTTAGATAAAAGAGTATAGATTAGGAGGCAACAATATATCCCAACCCTAGTATGAATTTTTTTCCGACGACACTTGGATCTTTTCAGAGACCCTATATATAAGAAAATAAAATCTGCCTTGAGTGGTCCAATTCTTTTGATTAAAAGTATCATATACCTCTATTCAATCAATTAACATGCTTCGAGTTCAAAGCTGTGTCCGTTGACAACTCTTGATAACATAAAAAATAACACGAATAAGGTTTTTTCAATGGTCGGGCTAAAACTGAACATAAAAGATTTACGTCGCTCCTGAAATTGGGACATGTCCGTCCATTGGGAAAAGGTAGTTTTGTATTGTTTACAAGGAGGAATATACGGACGATACGACCATAATTAGAATGCGCGTTGCCGTAAGAATGTGGTTGCTTATTCTTGACAAGCATCGTTTTTACAACGGCTTTTTTAATGTAAGAAAGCGTCAGCGAAGCAGCCTTCATACGAGGCCAGGTCATAATGACCAGCATTAAAATTTAGGGAGAAGAAACTGCGAAATTGCAAAATACTTCAGAGGCACACATACGTGACATACAAAGGTTGATTCCCCGTTTAACTAAACGTGGAAAACAGAAATAGACTAATTTCATAAAAGTGTACTTAGAATATTAACTAAGAATACTGTTATGTGTTTTACTAGCGTATAGTATTAGAATGAAATCCAGTATTTAAGCATTATCAAGAGTGAACTTGTTCCGATGACCTCAAGTATGTACCATACACAATCCATATAATTCTAACAAAATCCATATAATTCATTTTATCAAGCCAATATGTCCCTGTTAAAATCCAGGTTAATCCACTCATTTGGTTGTGACTTGGACAGGACACCTTAACAGGACATCAATATGGCCGAGTGTTCAGGGCGGAGAGATCAATACAACTTTCAAAGAGCAGAAATTCGATTTCAAATGAAACATGTTCGCTACAAGCTTTTATTGGCTTTATATCTGTCCGTTTAAATTGATTACTTTTACATTAAATAAGCTTTGCGGTATGCACAGATAGGTTCACTGAAATTGCACCAGAATGGAAGCATACGAGAACATCCGCTTATGAAACCAATCCTACACAGTCACAGCCATACGATTATGAAGAACTGGCCAAGTAATTTTGGGCGTAAAATTATTTTTGTATGGAAGTTAAGTCGGTTGTAGATGAAAGTTAAGTCGGTTGTACATCTATTTGGCACAAAACTCATTGTAGAACAATTTTAGCTAAAGGCAGTTCCAAAGTATCCGAAATTGCTCGCAATGTCATCCTTGGAATGCGTTCTAATATTAAGATAGCTTCTGGCAAAAAATATCAATTCCTAACGGCGAAGTAACTTGGGATTGCTTGAGTTTCACAGTTAAGTTTGTTTCATAGAAAATTTGTCATGACTTTAATCTTAGTATCATTTGCGTAGTTGCATTTTCTGTATCCTTTGGGAACACCAATACGTCGTTTAAAAAATACTGAAAAAGATCGGTCCCAAAAAAAGGGCTGGCGGTACTCCAAATTCAGTCACGATTGTGGAATTGAAGGTACTGTTCATAACAGCGCTTCCCTGCTGCAACCGTATTCTTTGACACGCCTCTATCATCCATTGCTTTTCCTAAGTTATTATCTCTGAAATAAACAAAGAAGCTGGGAGAAAAAGAAAGCCATTTGTTCCTCGCTGAGCTCTCATAAACGTGCTACTGAGCCCTCATGACTGTCCCTTACAAAGGTTATAATCTATTCAAAAAACTTCAGAGACATGACTCAACTTGAAAAGGAAAACGTTTTACAAAACAATAAATTCGAGGTTTTTTACTAGAGTCGGAGGTTTGTAGGCCCTACTGCGCCCCAAGCAGAAAATTTCGTCACTAGCACGAAATTTCATCAAGGTGAACGTGACAATTTAAGGGAGGAAAGGAAGCGCAAAAGCCAGGAAGGAGAATTCTAAGCTCGTAACTGACATTAAGAATGGATTTGGAGCATGACAGTTGGCACGTACGCTGAAACCACAAAAAGAGTTCAAATGGCCTTAATCTCAATGAAGATTTGAAATAGATAGGTATTTCGTTTTTTCCTGGCTTAGATGGAGATAACGTAATATGATAAACTTCCAAGCACTGTTTCCGCACTGCAGATCAAATCGATGCGTGAGTTTGAGAATAAGGTTTGCGATTTCGCGTTGTTGTTGGTGGAAAGCGCGATAGAGTCAGCTTACGGAATCTCTTTGTACAAAACAGTTTCCGATCAGTTGCACAGATGAAAGAGATCATAAGCTATTGAAAAGGCAATGATCGAGTTATGTCTTCTTTGACTAGGAAACCGAAGCAGCGAGCTATAAAGTATAGGATGCCTTCATATTCATTATTCATAATTTTTGCAGGTAGAGCTTCGAGTGATGCGCCCGAAGCTAGTATGGCTGAACAAAATCGCCGAGTTTTTTACACTTATTTACTCCATTTGACCGAGAAAAAATAAGAGAACTAAGATAGCCTAACTAAAACCCCTCGATTTACCTCCTTTTCGCATTCTGATTCTCGGTTGAACGGAATCGGGATGCGAAAAGGGAGGTAAATCGCGGGGTTTTAGTTAGGCTATCTTAGTTCTCTTATTTATCTTGATTTGACAGGATCAAAGTGCGAAGCTAGGAAAAAGGAATTTTCTGTCACGACACCAGCGCATCTCGAGTTTTCAAGCGACAGCCCTGCCAATTTCTCAGTTTTTTTAAGCGAGCTTAAAGTTTGGATGGGGGTGGTGTTTAAAAAGACGTCCTTGTATAAGAGCATCACTATGCTCAAAAGTGCATTTGCTTTATCTCGCGAACAAAGCAAACCCCTAGGAAGCCACATCAGCGCATTGCCATATACAGGGCATCCTGAGTGACAAGTGCAAGATAGATTGACTGAAATGATTGATTTATTTATTCATTTATCAATCTATTGGTTAAAAGCAGGGGGTACTAAATGAAACTATGTAATATAAATACAATCAAATAATCTCCGAAAAGTATACATTCTAGCTGGTAATGTAAGGAAAAGGCACGGGGGATATCATGTTGATCTACATGGGGAAAGGGGGAGGGATTAGGAAGAAAGGCAGCGAAGATCAACTTATTGTTACATATCGTTACAATTTTTTGATAATTCAGAGAGAAATCAAAATACGTTAACAGATTAAGAAATTAACTAGTAAAACGAAATTAGGTCAGTTCTAATTCAGGAAACCACGAAAGCAACTAATGTGCGAGAATATTGCATAACACAAAACCGAAATTTCGCAATTGATATTTGTATTCTAGCGTATGATAGCGTAAACGATGTTGAAGAGGCAATGCTAGAAGGGAATTACTTCCTTGTTTTGTTGACTTGCTTATGAAAAGATACACGTTCACACGTGACTTGTCACTATAAAAAGTGGGAAACATTTTTAATCATGGTATAATATAGAATTTCTCTGTGTGTGTAAAATTAACTAGTCTTCCACATATAAAGACATGCCTGTGGGCAAATGTGGTCCAAAGATGCAGATCTTGAAAAAAGAAAAACCTTGTACTTCTGAACAATATAGATTTGAAAAGCTGCAAACTGACTTTAGATATAAAGACGTTCTTTTTCATTTCCTCGCTGTCTTGGCAAAATCTTGTTGCACTCACAATAACTCCGTAGCTATCTGTTATTCAGACGTTCTTGTGGCTCGGATACGTGTAACAGCCCGGAAACGTTCCCAACGTCAAAAACTAGTTAAGTAAAAAGTTAAGCGAAAGACAGTTGTGAAGACTTTTCTACAAGGCAAACTACAAAAGGTGACAATCAACTCTTTTAGTTTCAAGGATCGTTCAATCACACCCACTTTACGTTTAACCAGAGGTCTTTTAATGAAGATGTCAGAGGTACTTTGCGGAATCAGTTAGAATTCGGGCTGTTGTGATCACCAACAGAACGAAAAAAATGCCTTGCAAAGGTCCCCTTATCTATGCTAAACTAAACAAATAGGAGTGAAAAACAAAGTATAATTCCTCAACATACAGATTAGCAATCCGTACAAATGCTAGAATTCTTCGCAAGGTACCTGTCTAGGCTAGCCCTACGTAAAGTCATTAATATATTTACGAAGAGAGGAGATGATCGACTAAATTCTCTGGGAAAAATATAGACAATCCTCAAAAGATTCAGTAAAAACCTATTAAGGTCGCACTGATGATTAAGGAAGGTAGAGTTTTAAGAAAAGACGGACCTCTAACTATCGCTGGATTAGAATTTCTGATCATTTTTCGAGATAAACGCCTCAAGAAGCTTTTACATGCACAAAAAAACCACTGTATTCATGCTTATACTAGTTGTTCTACAAACATTAGGCTAATTATGTAATTTTACTCATTCTTAGATTTCACGAAAGGCACTGTAAGCAAAAATCTGGAAAGCATCTTGCTTTACTATCGCAATAAATTCCAATTTAAAGATTCCACTTGTACAGTTTTATAGAAGAAATGTCTGCTAAAGATGGATCTCTTGACCGGAGGTGTTTGTTGTAGGTGCATGGAGGTATTAAGGCTAACTATTTACAAAAGGTGTATACAAAAGAAATACATAATAATTACAAAAACCAAAAACATATATAAAAGATTTGCAAATCCTACAGTTGCAATGTTTGCATTTTGTTTTCTTAAAAAGTTTTTTAAAAACAATCAAAGAGACTGAAGTTTTCACTTCTACAGGTAATTTTACCCATATTCGTTGACCCACGAACCTTACGGTATCTGTACCATAACATGTGGTTCTCACTTTTGGTAGGTTTTAATTTCTCGAGCTTCTTAGTTGATACGGTATTGCCTTTTCCTCAAAAATTTCCATCATAAACGAAGGGTTCAAGTGATTCCTTGTTTTGTAAATTTCAACCATGAGCAACTGT